AGGTCACTCCTGTTACCTTCTGCTTACGCCTACCAGCTGCCTGGAAGATTCACAATGCCTTCCATGTCCAACTTCTGAAGCCCTATCGGGATCCGAACATGATCTTCGTCGGACGCCAACCACCGCCGCCGCCGCCCGTCCTCGTCCAGAATGAACCCGAGTACGAGGTCGAGTCTGTGCTTGCACACCGCCGTTGTCGGAATGGCACCGTGGAGCTTCTCATTCGTTGGAAGGGTTATGATCCTTCTGAGGACAGCTGGGTACCTGAGTCCGACATGGGTAACGCCCGTCGTCTTCTGCATGACTACCTTGTCAAGCAGGGTGTTACTTCTACCACCCAGCTTTGAGGGGGGGAAGTGTGAGAGTACGACCTCGTTACACCACTTGTTCCTTTCTCTATTTCCTTTCCGTTTTATTCCTCTTTTCATCTCATCTCATTTGATTTCCTATTCTCCATTTTCCATAAACCTTTGGTTTATCCTGCTATTATGATTACATCACCGACCAGGCTTGGGATGTATTGGTGCGCTCTATCTAGCGTAATCCTGCCGTAATCCCTTAAAGCCAATAGCCTTGCGTGGCTATACGCAGGGTGATTCTATATTCTAGAAGGGTCTATTCCCTTAGGATAAGATAAACCTGGTTACCTGATGTACTTTGGAAGTATAAAAGCACCTTGTACTGATCGATAGTAGAACCTTTCCTCGACACATTCGATCCTGTGACAGGTGCGGCGGTAGGGGGAAACGAGGAGGAGTGAGGAGCACGGCGAAGCCGGCCCTTGACACAAGGCGTGCAAGGTGGGGCAGGGGAGGAGGGAAACTCAGAGAACGACCCATGGAGGCCTAGGACGAGACCGTGCTGTAACATGTGATGCAGACGCGGGAGCGCAGGGTGACCTAGACGGTGGTTCCACAGGAGAGTCGGGTGGGTGATTGACCGACAGGAGCAGGCAGCAGCAACCTGGGTAGACGCAGCCACCTGAGGGGGGGTCCCAACCCAACACCAAGGTAAGGGATCCTACGCTTAACGCAGCAGGGGAGTCTAAGGAAGGCACACCTACACTAGGCAACAAGGGGTAATAAGATGGAAGCACACTAGAGTCATCAGCATACATCACATGCAGAGCAGCAACAATCTCATCCATGTCCAGATAAAAAATCTGAACCCTACGACGAAGCAAGCTGTGCCAGTCTGGGAGCTCGAGCGACGGGCCGAAACGCTGACGAAACAGGTCGTCTAGGCGACGGAAACAGCGGACGGAGGTATGACCGATCTTACCGCAAACAAAGCCATGGCGAGGACCGGTCTGAAGCAGGTACTGACAGTGCGCGGCACCCGAACCACCACTCGGCAGCCCACCATGCGCACCGCCACCACGTCCAGCGCTGCCACCAGTGCCGGGCCACCCAGGCGGAAGACGACTCGTCCGCCTCTGCTGCTGCTACGACTGCTGCGGCTGCGGCGACGGCTGCAGCTGCGGCGGCTGCGGCTGGCGCGGGTCCGGCTGCGGCTGGCGCGGGTCCGGCTGCAACACCGGCGACCACTTAGACGGCTGCTCGGCTGCACTTGTCAGGGTCCCCACGTCAGCACCACCACTAGGTGACCCAACTCCAGCACCACCTACACCCGCACCCCCACCCCCGTCGCCACGTCCAGCCTTGGGGCGGCGACCCTTCCCCGGACGAACTTGTGCGGCAGCGGCAGTCTCAGCCACAGTAGCAGAACCGTCGGAGAAGGTGCATTGAGCGGGGGCACAACCCTGAAAGATAGGGACCGGCCCAGTACCGCTGGTCTGAGCGAAAGAGCGGTGGCGGGCCTCTATCGCAGACAGGGTGTCAACAAAGTCAGTGAGGGTAAGGTCTGCGGGGTGGACGCTAAGAAAGCGGTCACGGGCAGTGGCAAGACGGTCAGGGAGGCAGGTGGCTAGCAGGTAGAGAGTAGAGGTGAGGGGCGGCTGGTGGGCTAGAAGCTGTGTGTCAGTGCAGGCAGCATGCCAGGTCTCGTCTATGGTGCGCAGGTGAGCGGCCAGGTCGGCGACAGTGGGGAACGACGCAAGGTCAGGAAAGAGCATGGGGAGGATCAGACGAACGACCGAGGCTGCAGGCGAGGTGGAATAGCGCTGGACAACAGTATCTAGGAAAGCCTGGGCAGTGGTGATAGACTTGAAGCGAGGTCGCTCGGACAGGGGGAGGGCATTGCTAATAGCAAGCTGTGCAACAGCGTCACGGGACAGCCAGACAGAACGAGCAAGGGCAGCGGCTGCAGCGGACTCACGCTCAGTGGACGAGGGGTCAGGAGACAGTGCAGCGGGGGGGTCAGGGCAGGGGAGGGTACCATCAAGATGGGCAGACAGCGAGTGGCCATCCTGCCGCTGACCAGTGAGATGGCGACGGAGGTCAGCAAGCCACGCATCAAACTCAATCTGCTGGCCCTCAGCGTCAAAGCAAAGCACCTCCGCCATGAGTGACAATAGAGGGCAGTGTAGAGTAGGACAGTGCGGTGCAGTGCTGTGCAGTGCGGTGCAGAGCTGTGTAGTGCGGTGCAGTGTGGTACAGTGCGGTACAGTGCGGTGCAGTGCGGTACAAAGCGGTGCAGTGCGGTACAGTGCGGTGCAATGCGATGCAGTGCGGTACAAAGCGGTGCAGTGCGGTGCAAAGCGATGCAGTACGGTACCGGGGGGGGGGGGGGGTTCGGGGGGCGGTGCTGATCGGGAAGGAACGGGCCGAACCCGAGGCAGCGACGGGCCGACGACGGCGCGAATGCAGGGCCGGCCGGCCGGAGGCAAGTAGACACGGCAACGGCGGCCAGGGACAGCCGCAACGGCAGCAAGGGACAGCCGCTACGGCGGCCAGGGACAGCCGCGACGGCGGCTAGGAACAGCTGCGACGGCGGCGAGGGGCGGCCGCGACGGCACGGGCGACCGTGAGGCGGCTGGAGACGGCAGCGGCGGCGGCTAGGGGCGGCTGCGACGGCGAGGGGCGGCCGGGACGACTAGGGGCGGCCGAGGGACGGCGGGAAGCGGCCGCGACGGCGGCTAGGAGCAGCCGCGACGGCTAGGGGCGGGCTCAAACGGCCAGGGGGCCTGCGAGGAGTGGGCGCGAAACGGCCAGGGTGCCGGCTAGGAGGGGCTCGACGGCCAGGGGGCCGGCTAAGGACGGGCGCGAACGGCCAGGGGGCCGGCTAGGGACAGGTGCGAACGGCCAGGGGGCTGGCTAGGGGCGAGCACGACGGTCAGGGGGGCCGGCTAGGAGCGATCGCGACGGGCAGGGGGCCGGCCTGGAGCGGGCGCGACGGCCAGGGGGCCAGCAAGAGACGGGCGCGACGGCTAGGGGGCCGGCTAAGGGCGAGCGCGACAGCCAGGGGGCCAGCTAGGGGAGGGCGCGAACGGTCAGGGGTCAGCTAGGGACGGGCGCGACGGTCAGGGGGGCCGGCTAGGAGCGATCGCGACGGTCAGGGGGCCGGTTAGGAGCGATCGCGACGGTCAGGGGGCCGGCTAGGAGCGGGCGCGACGGCCAGGGGGACAGCTAGAGACGGGCGCGACGACCAGGGGGGCGGCTAGGGACGAGCGCGACGGCCAGGGGGCCGGCTAGGGACAGGCGCGAACGACCAGGGGGCCGGCTAGGGACGAGCGCAAACGGCCAGGGGGACTGGCTAGGGACGGGCGCGAACGGCCAGGGGGCCGGCTAGGGACGAGCGCGACGGCCAGGGGGCCGGCTAGGAACGTAGGGGCGGAAGCGTGAACGGGCTAGGGGGGGATCTAACCTACTATGATACCATATCAGAAAGAAAAGCATTGAACTAGAATGTGTGTGTACAAGGATATATAGACTAAGGTGTTGTACCCTCTAAGGCACAATCCAGTATAGTCTACAGTAACGACCTAAGTTACATTTGACAATAACGTCATATGGGCTAGCTATGGGCATTGAATGCACACACATCCATATGCTGCTATGCTGCCGTGGTGGGCATCAATCGCCACCCATCACCTGACGGCCTTTGGCAGCCAGTGTGACAGGGCATAAGATGCATCCCCCCTTGGCATGTGCTACGGTTCGTGGAACCTCCCCCCTTAGTTGTAATTCCCTCGTTATCAGACCAAGAGGCGCATGCTCCTATAACTTAAATTATCATACCATTTCTTTGTTCGGTATATGCATCTGAAATGTCCGTACTCCGTGTAAAAAGTTGAGATCAGAAAACCAGTTGAAATGAATATATTTAATTTTTATTTAGGAACATGAAATTTACAGATTGTGATACGCTTCGAAGAGGAGTTTTGCTGTAAAGGAGACAAGCTCCTTCTCGTCATTCTAGTTGACTTGCTAACTCTGAGATGGTATCATGCACTAGGTTAGGTCCTCCCCGCCCACCCGCGCTTCCGCCTTTGTCCTAGCCCTAGCCACCCGTCGCTAGCCGCCCGTTCCTAGTTGCCGCTGGCCGCCCGTCGCCTCGTGCTGCCCGTAGCCACCAGCAGCCTGTAGCCGCTGGCCGCCCGTAGCCGCCAGCCGACCGTAGCAGCCAGCAGTGAGTAGACGCCAGCCCCGCGCTTTCTGGCCCTGCGCTCGGCAGCCCCGCGCCCGCTGGTCCCGCACTTTCTGGCCCTGCGCTCGCCAGCCCCGCCCCCGTTGGCCCCGCGCTCGCCGGCCCCACGCTCGCCAGCCCCGCGCCCGCTGGCCCCGTTCTCGCTGGCCCCGCGCTCGCCAACCCCGTGGCGGAATTCACGCTGCAGTTCGTCGCTTTCTGCGGGCTGGTTCAGGTGCTTTCCCGCGCGGCAACTTGACCATTTCAGCAGATCGCCGTGGCGACAAACCATTGGTGGCGACAAATCTTTGTTTGGACGAAATCGCTCTTGCACCACAAGCGATTCGCAAGCGCGTGCTGCATTATCTGACGCAAGGCAGCCAATACAGGGAACCTCTCGTCTAACGCGAGGTTAGTCTGACACGAGGCTGTAGGAATTCGCCCTCAAACGAATATAGGGGCCTAGCATACCAATGCAACTAATGGTCGTAGTGGCAGTCACAAGACATGGGTGCAGCAGCCGATTGGCAGGCCACTCCAGTGGACATGCCCGTTTCACCCCAATCAGCATCCCTTCTTTCTGCTTCGTGGAATTGCCCTTTCTAGTTTAATGCTTCCAGGCCTTGCCTGCTCGGACTAGTTCCAAAATTCCAAGCTTGTCAATAGTCAATATGCTGGAGCATGCATGTGGCCAATCTGTCGCATGCGGCTCATCCCCTGCTGCTGCATGTGCCGATTCCTGCTGATTCAGGAAAGGTTGGGCAGGAGTAACATACAAGAGGGTTGTCGCTCTACGGGAGAACCAGAGTGTTTAGAGAGATAACCTAAACCAGGTTAACTGTTTGGAACACCGGGGAGCTTGGATAGGAACCTGGTGTGTGACTCCAGCAACATGATGTTGCCACAGCTGCTAAAGGTGATGCTACAAGGGGACTCACAACAACCGGGAGAGTGCATAGGAACCCGTAGTGTGAATTAGATAAACTGGGGAGCTTGGATAGGAAACTGGTGGGGGACTCCAGGCGTATGATGCTGCCACAGCTGCTGAAGGTGATGCTCTGAGGGGGCTCACAACAATCGGGGAGCTTGGATAAGAATCTGGAGTGTGACTCTGGCAATAAGATCCTGCCACAACTGCCGATGGAGACCACTGGCGTTGCTGCTGCTGCTGCTGCTAGTACAGCTGTGGCTGCTGCTGCTGCTGGTACAGCTGTGGCTGCTGCTGCTGCTGGTACTGAGGTTGCTGCTGCTGCTGGTACAGCTGTGGCTGCTGTTGCTGCTGCGGTTGCTGGTACTGCTGTGGCTGTTGGTACAGCTGTGGCTGCTGGTACTGCTGTTGCTGAGAATGCTGCTGCTGATGATGCTGCCGAGGGGGCATGCAGTTGACATACTCAACGGATCGGTAGTCTCTGTCTCGAAGCTCCGGACTACCAAGCCCGATTCCCTTCACTATATCAGCATACAGTGGCTGTTGCTGAGTGCTGCGTTCCAGCCGAGTGTGCAGCTGCTGCTGCTGCTGCCGAGGGGGCGTACAGTTGACATAATTCACGGATCTGTAGTCTCTGTCTCGGGGCTCCGGACTTCCAAACGCATTTATGTCGGCATACCGTGGCTGACGCTGAGTGCGGTGTTCCTGCTGCTGGTGATGCTGCTGCTGGTGATGCTGCTGCTGGTGATGCTGCTGCTGGTGATGCTGTTGCTGGCGATGCTGTTGCTGGTGGTGCTGACGAGGGGTTGTGCAGTTGACATACTTCAAGTATCTGTCGTCTCTGCCTCTGCCTCTGTTTCTGTCTCCGTATCTATCTCTGTTACTGTCTCCGTCTTTGTCTCTGTCGCTCCTTCTGGCACTGTCTCTGTTTCTGTCTCTGTCTCTGTCCCTGTCTCTGTCTCTGTCTCTGTCTCTGTCTCTGTCTCTGTCTCTGTCCCTATCTCTGTCCCTTGTCTCACCGTCCTTGTCTCTGTCTCTGTCCGTTTCTCTGTATCTACCTCGGTCGGTGTTTCTGTCTCTGCCTCTGCCTCTGTCGCTGTTTCTCTCTCTATCTCTTTCTCTGTCTTTGTCCCTGTCTCTGTTGTTGTTCCTCTCTCTGTCTCTGTCTTTGTTTCTCTCGCTCTCTCTGTCTCTGTCTCTTTCTCTGTCGCTGTTTCTCTCGCTGCCTCTCTCTGAGTCGCTGTGTCTGTTGCTGTCATCTCTATCGTATCTCTTGTCTCTATCTCTGGTTGTACTCCATCCTTTCACCTCTCCCCTACCAGCCTCCACACGCCTCCCATCGCCAGCCGCTGCTTCAAACGCCCTATCCTTCTCATTCCGTCCCTTCTCATTCCCGTGGCGTACATTCTCCTGCCGCAATATTTCCCTGTCTCGTGAGTCACACATGAGCGCACCCACATTGGCTGACCGGTTTCTCAAGGGGGATTCGGTTTTGCTTTTCACGCAAGAAAAGGGCCTAGGTGGAGCTGGTCTCACTTTCTCTCGGCTCTTCTCTTCCTGCTCAGCATTCTCGTTATTGGTCTGAGGGAAGCTTCGTATCGTCAGGCCTTGCAGGGCCTTTGCGGCTGCATCTACCGCTGCTTCTCCTGCTGCCTTCCTTGCTGCGACGCGTTTCTCTACCCGGGTCTTCTCCTTGCGGGTGCTGCGGACGCTGCGTGCTGCGCCCCCCCTCGCATGCTTCTCGGCGAGGACTGCTACTCGCTCCTCCTCATTGGCCCAAGACTGCGAGCACAGAGGACAACAGACAATGAGGATAAACAGGAAAATTACTTCGCCTCTCGCATGCTTCTCCGGAGCGACACCCACTCGCTCGTCCTCATTGGGCCAAGGCTGCAATCACAGAGGAGAACGGGTAATGAGAGACGACAAAAAGATTGACCAAGGCAGTCATAAGGATGCAAGTCAGCGACTCTGAAAGGGCAGCAAGCTGCTCCTCGTCATTAGGCCAAGGCTGGAAGCACTGAGAGAACATCATGTTCGAAGCACATGATGTGACGAGAATAAGCCAGAAAAGCTATTCTCCTTGTGGGCGCTTCGAACACTGCGGCCTGCGTCCCCTCTCGCACGCGTCTTTGGAAGGACTGCCACGCTTTCGTCCTCGTTGGGCCATGGCCGCAAGCACAGACGAGAGACGACGAAGGACTGTCAAGGCGTTTAGGAGGGAAAAGATCTAACAGCTAGCCTCCCCGCTGGACTGCAACTTGCTCCTCCTCATCGGGCCAAGGCTGGGTTGCAGTAAGCGTGTTATTTCCTGAAGACACTGGACCTGGCAAGCTCACCTGGCGATGCGTTGAGAATCCGTACAGCTTCCTCCCCTTCAACATGTGTTGCTTCAGTGGAGGCAATGGCTGCAAGCCGGCACTCCAAAGCACTTCCACCTGAAATGAAAACCCACGAAGAGCAGAGCTTACTAGGGCGAACGGTATCCTTGAGCCCGTGATCAGTCTCCTATCAGGTTGAATAACATCGGATGTGGGATTGATCAACTATTGACCTTCGGTAGCTCGTAAACTGGAACCATTGCATAGAAAATTCAGCACTGACAGACGAGAAAGTGCTTACAGTGAAGGTGTGCTGCTGCTTCAGTTCGCCGTAGCTCTCTATGATCACTCTCCCTGCCACTTCCAGACACCCCGTACAGCCCTTCTTGTGCCTGCATGCACCATTATACAGGTGGAAAAGACATCATAGACACAGCTGTCATTAGGCCTGGCTGGAATCCAACGCTGAGAGAGGCAGCATGAACAAAAGCTGGAGAACCAGGGATGGAACGAGGCTCATGGGAAAGGGCGGGAAAAAAGACAGGACGGGAATGAGGCAGGATGCGGAGCTCACCCTTTGAACAGGCACTGCTTGAAGAGGACGACGTCATTTCTACAGACGTCACCTGAGGCATGTAAGGCGAAGCATCAGAGCCGGAGGGAAACGCGTGTCAAATATCATCGATTCAGACATTATGATTTTAGAGAGTACCTAACATCAATCGAGTGCTATAATCGTTGACAAGATGCGGGGGAAGAGGTGGGGGGGAGGAGTGTGGGGGAGGGGGGTGGAGGGGGAAAGGAGAGGTGGAGGGGGATCGCAGGGCCAAAGCGGGGGAGTACCTTTGCAGTGGATGGAGAAGGATTCGCGCGGGTACTTGCGCATGGCTGACTTGACGTCGTGGATCCTGGCGAGGGATGAGATGACAACGCAAAGCAAGCGAGAACGAAAGAGCGAGAACAAAGCAAGCTGACCGAGATGGACTAGGCGAGCCAGGTACTTGCACATGGCTGACGCGGCGTCATTGATCCTGATAAAAGAAGAAACAGGCTGACAACGAGATCTAAATCATGATGAGGAGCGTTCAATAATTCCAATTCTACAAGTTCTAACCACCCCGCCCGCGCATAAGAAAACAGCCAGAAGCATCGGATGCTTTGACCATGGACTTGCGGAGAGCAAGAGGCCGGTGAGTCAAAGCAAAAGACACCTAAATGGACGGCTGACGGGTCGTCAATGCCAATAAAGCTTGGAAGGCGCGAGCCTGGAAAACTCCACACGCTGACAATGCCTATTTTTACTAGTGTGCTTGGGGGGTTGTAAAAACTGTTTTTAACGTGAAAAAACTTACTCGGCGTGCTCCTGAATGCGGCTGATCAGCACCGGCTTGGATCCGCTCACCCGCAGCTGGTGAAACCTCAGGTACGCCTGGCAGAGACCAACGGTTAGTTGACTCCACTCACCCACTGCCATCAGAAACGCCAGGTGAGCAATTGGTAAGAGTGTAGCTCGAAAAGCCATGGATTGAAGCGAAGCTCGCGGACAGCAGTGTACGACGCGTACCTTGGATGAACGAGAGCGCCTTGGCATAAATATCAGAAGTCGAGGACCCCGCGTAAACGATTCTGTTCCTCAAAACCCTCAAGCTCACGGCTCTCGGCGACACGTTGCTTCCCGAGCTCGTTCCCTTCCCCGTGTCGCGAATATTTATGGTGGAAGTCGCCTCGTCGTCGTCGCTGCTGCTGCTACTGCTGTCACTGTCGCTGTAACTATCGCTACCGCTATGGCTATCACGATTGGTGTTACCATCAGTATCGCTACGGCTGTTACTATTGGTATTGCTGCTACTCGTATCAATATTTCTGTCACTAACGCTGCTTTCTTCACGGCCCTCTTCCAACGAGTCATTGACTGCTTCATCTTTCCGGTCAGTAAGTGGAATAGCCGCACATTCAGGCACGTCGGCCGTCAGCGTATTGCTCAACGGATGCACGTTCAACGTGCATTATCTGTCAGGTAGTCGCGCGCGCGAGAACTCAGCAATAACAAGGCATGACCTACTAGGTCACCAGTAGTTACTAATACTGAACCGCGACGGTATACTAAAGCTCTGGTATTACGTAACCAAGCTATGACTCAAACTTGTGCCACCTTCGTGCGGTGTCAAAAGGCTGAATGAGGCCGGACATAGAGTGGCCTTTTGAATTTCTCAAAAACCAACACGGAAATAGAGTTCCTGGAAGCTCACCGGCTCACGAAAACATTTCACGAGAGGGTGTACAGAAAATAGTTGCCGATGCTGGATGTCTGAGCGATTTTTGGTCAAAGTAAAATCCTCTCCTAGAAATCTAAACGCGTGCCGTTCCAGAATCAGGCTAGACCACCCATCCTACACAAAACGGCTCAGATCCAATGTGCTCAAGCAAGGTGCAACATCCATGCGGAGCTCAAAGCATGACTAAGGGCGTGCCCCTTGGGTACGTATGATTGCGGTTGGGTGAGATGCTTTACCAGTCAGAAGGTTCAAAAAACGATCCAAGACGTTTTGGTAGGGTATTGAGCGAGAAACGTACTTCTTGCGGCTCAAATAATGATCAGATTCCAGCTTTTGTGTGAACACATATGTTGCAGAAACATATGGTTGGCTGCAACCAAGGGTACAGATTTGATGACGCCACATGAAGATGCATCGTAGCCCTTGGATACGGACTGTCTGTCCGGAACAAATAGTCGAATCGTGTGCCTGACACAGCCTGAGGAGCGCCAGCCCCTTGAAAAGTTCGAAAAACGCGCGGGAAAGAACAGCAGTGGACGACAAAATCATACTCGTTAATATCTGGATTCTACTGATGTCGATACGATATGCTTATCCCTCTGCAAATATTCCAAATCTGTTATGTTATGTGCTCTAAAGTCATATTTCTGTTTTACTTGTTTGAAACGGCCAAGAAACGGCCATTCTAGTTGAAACTAACTTTAGAGAAGGTATGAGTGGGAGAAATTAGTGGCAGAAGGCGTTCCATGGGGGGAACATAGGGATACGTAAGCCATCTTACCATCTAGCCACCTTTTGACACCTTCCATTCGTATATCCTTGGTCAATGTATACTCTCTTTCGCCCCTGCTTACCGTGGCCACAGCAAGACTTACCAGTGCGGGATCGAGAAGAACCCTGCAGCTCATTTCAGAGCAGGTTATACGCTGCTGTATGGTATAGTGCGATTTACTGGGACGTTGCATTGAATAGGAGAGGTGAACCGTCGAAATCGTCTTTTATTTCACTTATTCCCCAACCTACGAAGGCATATCCTCCCACGCTAGTGAGGGTTGATTGGATAAGAAAACAAAGCGAAAAGCTAAGACATTTCAGCAGCCGTCAGTGCCACCGGCGGCTTCTCGGGAGGTGTGTGGCGTAAATCCTGTCGCAAAGGGCTCTTTTCACACATGGCTCGCTGCACGAGGCTCGCCGCACGATGCTCGTCAGAAAATGGTATACATCTGCACCACTCAGCGCGTAGCCTTAGAAGACGTATCCCGCCGCTCTGGCTTCCGCCTCCGCCCTTTCCGCCTCAGCAATAGCTTCCGCCATTCGCTGCTTCTGTCTCCGCACCTCGAGGTCCGCCTCCCTCTTCGCGCCCAAGGCTTCGTCGACAATTCGCTTCGCTTCGTCCATTTCGCCAGCGGCCTCCGCCACTCGCTTGTTCGCCTCGTTGACGTCGAACTGCAGCTTGTCGATGCTCGGCATCTTGATCGCGGAGCTCGCGGGTTTCGCCCGCTTCTTCTTCGCCGCGAGAGCCTCGCTCGTGCACAGGGCGAGCACGAGGAGGACGCAGAGAGCCGCTCGTTTCCAGTGAGCCATGGGGAAGAACGATGAGAGAGAAAACGCTTTACGATTTACGGCGAAAGGAATACGGTTTCGAGAAAGCTGGGAAGCCCGAGGAAATTTCAGTGACTTCGGAAACGAGTAGAAGGCTGACGTCTCGAGGCGAAGAACTGATAAGAGATGATGGCTGAGATATCGAGCAGGAAGTCCTCATATATGGAGCACAGGGTGGCTGTCGTGGGGAAAGTCAGGTGCGGCCGGGTGGGAAGGAACAGGGTAGTCATCATGCAACCTGTCTGCATTCATGGGCCGAAGAGGTGAAGATGTTTGCTGTGCGGTTTGGAGCGCTGATAAGTGGACTATGAGGAGTTACTGTACTCCACAGTTTGCGTCACCGAGCCGCACTGCCTCCAGCTGCCCAGGTGATTCGGAAAGCGTATACGTACCGTAAGCGGAGTGTGGGGGCGACGAGCCTGTGGAGTGTGGCTTTGGTGTAGCTGGTGGAATGCAAACGCGTACAAGGTGCGGCGATTCGTTAGTAGGACGACGGAAACACTCTGGGCTCCATACAAGTCAACATTCAATGAGTCTTCTCTACTTAGTGTTACATTTCTAACATCGACCTTTCGTATTGCCTTACACGTTTTACATCGCGCACATACATAGATGGAAGGGTTCACATCACAGGCGTCTCACATTACGGGTTTCCCCAAGGAAGAGGCATCCAAAAACATCATTGAAAAAGCTTTTGGGTCGCAACCACTCGGATTCTTCATCCGCTTCTGCGTTGCCTCCTGAACTGGGTCTTGGGAAAACCCTCTTCATATCGTAAGTCACCGCACGGGTACAGTCTGGGCAGTATGTTACCTGCATATGATCATAAAGAAAACAAAATAACAAGAGTACGTGGAACCATGATTCATAATTGGTTTTTAGCAGCATTTAGCACAACAATGCAATATGCTCTTCCGCGAGAGAGTCAACAGCAGGGCATGAAGGCAGCAGTTATATGACGAACCTCTAGAAGCTTGGGTTGAAACTGATCGTCCAGCATCACATCCACGCCGTAGATGGCTCGACAGGTGTCGCCATCTGGCTGCATCTCGGGATGAACAGTAACGGCAGCAGCCAGGAGCTCCCGCAGCATTCTCTGCACCGATTGGTCGATGGACTGCCAAGTCACTGTGTGACAAGCAGGCAGGATGGCCAGACGGGAAGGGGGAGGAGGAGGAGAATGGGGGGGTGTGTGCGCGCTTGAAGCACGGTGAAGGGTGGCAGAATGGATGTGGCAGCAGAGAACAGCTCCCTAGCGAAACAGCACATGGTGGTGAGGTGACAAAGAGGAGCTGAGTGATATAAGAGGGGGCGATAAACTGGAAGTCTGGTGAGGTGACTAAGAGACCTGTATGATATAAAAGGTTGTGATAACTGGACTCATGGTGGGCATGCTGACACATGGATGTGTTACTACCCACATGCAGATGCATGGATGTGTTACTACCCACAGGCAGATGCATGGATGTGTTACTACAGACATGCAGATGCATGGATGTGTTACTACCCACATGCAGATGCATGGATGTGTTACATGCAGATGCATGGATGTGTTACTACCCACATGCAGATGCATGGTTGTGTTACTACCCACATGCAGATGCATGGATGTGTTACTACAGACATGCAGATGCATGGATGTGTTACTACCCACATGCAGATGCATGGATGTGTTACTACCCACATGCAGATGCATGGTTGTGTTACTACCCACATGCAGATGCATGGTTATGTTACTACCCACATGCAGATGCATGGATGTGTTACTACCCACATGCAGATGCATGGATGTGTTGATACCCACATGCAGATACATGGTTGTGTTACTACCCACATGCAGATGCATGGATGTGTTACTACCCACATGCAGATGCATGGATGCGTTACTACCCACATGCAGATGCATGGATGCGTTACTACCCACATGCAGATGCACCCTACATCATCACCATGCCAGTCCTCATCCGTACCATTGTGCTGCTGCTCGAATGCCCGTACAAACTCGTGCGTTGGCACATGCTCATACTTGTGGCCACTGTAGTTCTGCAGAGGGGGAGAGAGAGACATGCATGCATGTATGTATGGAATGGAGATGAGCACCGACATAGACACACAGAGATGAAATACATGCAATGATTGGTTTGGAGGAATTGCTTGAAGCATCTTCTGGTGCTTGTGAGCAAAATACTTGTGCATGATAGAGCAAGCACGGGTGATGACATTACGAGAAAACCACATGCACTACCACAACGTGGCATGCATTATCACCATGATGACGTGGCATGCATTATCACGATTATGACGTGGCATGCATTATCACGATCATGACGTGGCATGCATTTTCACTCACCATGACAGTGAAGTGGGTCTGGAAATCAGAAAGCGAGTCCTCCATCTGAGAATACGCCTTGTTGGCAATGCGAGCCTGGAGATACACGAACGCACACAAGGGAGAAAATGCATGCACACAAGGGAGGAGTGAGAAAATGCATGCACGTAGGCTTGAGCAACAGGTCGGGTCGGGTCGGGTCAGGTAACCCGACCCGAACCCAAATTTTTGACGGGTCGGGTCAGGTTTCCCGTAGGCAGAACCCGACCCGTCGGGTTTGATTTTTACCCATCGGGTCGGGTCAACCCGAACCCGACATGTCGGGTTGACCCGACCCGACTTCGGGTATACATCGTTGGGTTGACCCGACCCGACCCGACCCGAACTCGGGTCGCGCCTTGAACCGACGCGATCTGGGCGACCAGAGTTGCGCATATCTGGGAAGTCTGATTATTTGGTAGAATTTTCGACCAAATGGGTCATTTCCCATATCCTACTCAGGCTACCTCCCATTTCTACCCTGCATCCACCTCATTCCTACCAGTAATCTACTCCCCACCATACTTATTAGTACAGCTTAGGGTCTAGGCAGATCCAGATCGATTTCGATTGGATCGACTCAACCAACACTCGACACCCCCAACCCATCCGAATTTCGCCGACACCCTCAACCCATCCGAATTTCGCCAACACCCCCAACCGATCCGAGTTTCGCCAACACCCCCAACCCATCCGAATTTCGCCAACACCCCCAACCCATCCGAATTTCGCCAACACCCCCAACCCATCCGAATTTCGCCAACACCCCCAACCCATCCGAATTTCGCCAACATCCCCAACCCATCCGAATTTCGCCAACACCCCCAACCCATCCGGATTTCGCCAACAGCCCCAACCCATCCGAATTTCGCCAACACCCCCAACCCATCCGGATTTCGCCAACACCCCCAACCCATCTGGATTTCGCCAGCACCCCCAACCCACCCAATTTTCGCCAACACCCGCAACCCACCCAAAATCTCGTCAACACCCCCAAACCAGCCAAAAATTCGCCAACCATTTTTTCGCCAACACTCCCAACCAATCCAACACCCATCCCGTGACTGGTTTTCGCCAACATCCAACCCACATCTCGAGGTTGTGGATGGGAGGATGAGGTGGGTGCGTGGGCTAGACATGAGGAGGACATACTGGATCTCGAAATTACGAAATCCATATGTTTCCCTTAGGAAAAAATACTCAGGTCGGGTCAAGTCGGGTCGGGTCGGGTTGGATCGACCCGACCCGATCACGGGTAAGAGATAACCCGACCTGTTACGGTCGGGTCGGGTCGGCGAAATCCTAGGATCGACCCGACTTGACCCGACCCGACCCGACCCGAACCCGACATCGGGTAGGGCAAATTCGGGTCGGGTCGGGTTTATGCTCAAGCCTACATGCACGCAAGGGAGGAGTGAGAAATTGCACGCACGCAAGGGAGGAGTGAGAAAATGCATGCACGCAAGGGAGGAGTGAGAAAATGCATGCACGCAAGGGAGGAGTGAGAAAATGCATGCACGCAAGGGAGGAGTGAGAAAATGCATGCAGGCAAGGGAGGAGTGAGAAAATGCGTGCACGCAAGGGAGGAGTGAGAAAATGCATGCACGCAATGGGAGGAGTGAGAAAATGCATGCACGCAAGGGAGGAGTGAGAAAATGCATGCATGGAAACAAAGCGCAACAGTGTGATGGCCTCTTGAGGCGCAACAGTGGGATTCGGCCTCTTGAGCAGCACGATGACCTTCCTGGCTTCCATGCGTGAGGAGTCTATTTTTGAGGCGCCTAAAAAATTCAGCTTCTTGAGCAGCATAGTGACCTTCCTGGCTTTCTCGCAGGTCGGACTTCCTCGCTTGGGACAGCGCCGGCCAGGAGATGTACTCGTGCCATGTCGCACACCCTCTCTCACACCTTTCACTGCTTCCCTCGCACCCAGTCAGCTCACCCAGAACACATCGGACTGGTACGCGTCTAGCGGCTTGAGTCTCTTCAGCAGCACAGTGGACAGGTATGCATCGGATAGGTACGCGTCTAGCAGCTTGATTCTCTTCAGCAGCACGGAAGAAGCTCAGGCCGGATTTTGGCCGGAGTCTTCCCTTGGTGTGGGGCGCCTCACGAGTCACAACCGCACACACTAGCATGCCGTAGTCAACTTCCTTCCATTGAAGAGCGCCGACCACGACATCTGCTTCTGGTACACCTTGGGGCCGGTCCCTCACTCTCTCTCTTACTCTCCCTCGCGCAGCAACAGCAAACAGCACACAGCACACAGCACACATCATGCAGAAAGCAGGAGGCAGGAGGCAGCAAGCAGGAAGCAGGAGGCAGCAACTAGCAAGTACGAGCAGGCAGCAGTCAACTCACCCAGAACACATCAGACAGGTAGGCGTCCAGTGATTTGAGTCTCTTGAGCAGCACGATGAAGTGGACGTCGAACTTCCTCCCATTGAAGAGAGCCGGCCGCAAGATGTACCTTCGGCACACCTTGGTGTGGGCCGTCCACAACACAACACCACCCAGCATTCAGCAGTCAACTCACCCAGAACACGTCGGACAGGTATGCCTCCAAAGGTTTGAGCTTCTTCAGCAGCACGATGAAGCGCATGTCAAACTTTCTTCCACTGAATGGCGCCGGTCGCGAGATGTGCTTCTGGCACACCTTGGTGTGGGCCGTCAACAACACAACACAAGTCCGGATTCAGCAGCAGTCAACTCACCCAGAACACATCTGAGAGGTATGCCTCCAAAGGTTTGAGTCTCT